GGCTGCCGGCCGCCATCTTGGCTGACAGTTAATTTGCATAAGGATATGCTGAGTAGCCAATGGGAAGGGTAGGGGTCGTACGCTAATTACCATGTTTCTCTTTTATTAGTGTAGATAGAGGCCCAGTGTGCCATTGAAATCGAATGAGGAGGCGCCCTGACTCCCACCTGTGAGGAAGCACCCTGTGGGGGGCCAGGACTCGTGCCTGATCCACGTAGCACCGGCTGGTCACAGCGTTGTGTCCGCTGGGTGGGGGCAGGTGCTCCTGTGTGTTGTGTCTCTGCTCGGGCCGGCCCCAGCCCCAGCCTCCCCGTGGCCACTGGGGTGGGGGCAGCACGCAGTCCCCTCCCACCCATCTGTGAGCAGCTTCTCCTGAGTGGTCGTGGCACTCGGCTAATTAGTATATTCCCTGTTTATATATAGAAATTAGACCTACACATTTTTTTTGGAAACTGCTTATAGTATAAAATATAGAATATTCACCGACTGATAGCGAAATTGGACATAGAGTTGTTAGTGGCCCAAATGTTAATGTTTTGGAGAAATAATGATTGCCACAATAGATGTCTGTGATAACGATGATGACCTCTATCTATATGGGACTTCCATTTCACATTGTTTTTCTCATTCTCTTTTTCTCCATTTCATTTGTGTACATGTATACAAATGTAGTATATTATTCAGAAGCACAAATCTGAGATGGATAAACTAGCACATGCCCTATCAATTTTTGGAGAAGGGAATATTCACTGGTGCATTGCATGAGAGGAGAGTTGCAAATCATTAGAACTGAGTGGACTAGGATTGAATTTGAAATTGCCAAATGCTAATGAAGAAAGAACATTGTCCACGAGAAAATTCCTTTTCGGCATGGGCCACAGATATGTAATATGATTTTCCTAGCATGACAGGCAAATTCAGGACTAGAATGAACTTTCCAGGATTCCCAAAGCAGCACTTATTCTGGCTGCCCTCAGTTCTCTGATGTTAGAGATAAAATTGAAGTTACATTCATGTTAACATAATTTTCTATTATGTTAATATTGGATTCAAGGAGAAACTTATAATACTACAAATAGAAAACACAAGTTTGGCCTCCTATATCTCTTCTCAAGAAAATATTAAGCAACCCAAATCCATAACCAATAGAAAAGAGTTCATTAGGGTTTGCTATTTACCAATTAGTCTTAATGACCATAAGTTGTTTGTTTTTATTTTATAAATTGCATTCTCTGAAGTAAAATCATATGAATATTTGAAAATCTTTACTGTGGCTTTAAGAATCACTGTTGAGTCGCTCCGTAGGCGATGGGGTCCAGATTAGTTCTGATTTAAATGGTTAAAAAAAGAAAATCCTGACATAGTGCCTATATATACAATACCGTATTGTGCACTTAAAAATTTGTTAAGAGGGCAGATTCTCATCTTAAGGCTTCATACCACCCAAAAAGGCGACACAGGAAACTTCTGAAGATGATATCTATGTCTATTACCTTGATTGTGGTGATGGTATCATAGGTTGATATGCACATGTCAAATCATAACATGCATATGTCAATCCTCATATTGTATATACATCAAATGTGTGCAGCTTTATTAAAGTATCAGTTATACTTTAATAAAGCTGTGGAGAAAAAAAAGGAAATCTGGAGCCTAGAATTATTCTTTTTTTAAATCTATTTTTATTGATTTCAGACAAGAAGGGACAGGGAGAGAGAGAGAGATAGAAACATCAATGATGAGAGACAATCATCGATTGGCTGCCTCCTGCACATCCTCCACTCGAGATCGAGCCTACAACCCAGGCATGTGCCCTGACTGGGAATCAAACCATGATCTCCTGGTTCATAGGCCTATGCCACCGAACCACGCCAGCCAGGGCTAGAATTCTTGTTGTGTACACATGTACACACTCATGCACACATATACACACATCATCAATATGTTCCCAATGTGGGATGTTTTTATATATTGCCAGCCTGAACTCACTGTCCATATGTAAGGTCACTCATCATTTCTTCCTTTACTGTCTCCTTCCTCCATCGCTGCATTCACACCACTTGATCTACCACACCTGGTTTCGAAGTCTGAGAGCAACATTCTTTTGTTTGTGTGTGTGTTTCTTGTTTTGTTTTTTCTGTGTGGTATCACAGAGAGAAACTCTAGAACAATAGGTATTTGTTTAAAAAAATCCATCAGAAAAATCAATGGTAATTTGAGTTTCACCAAGGAGAAATGCAAATTGATCAAACAGAACATAAGATTAGAGTAATCACCAAGCTAATAAGGGTAATGACCTTATAAATAATGGTAAAGTGAGTATAGCTAAAACATGTATTTTCTGGCCTTAGTATTTGGCCACTAACATTGAAAAGATATTTATTAAGTAATGAATAAGGGCAAGTTACTATGAGTCATTGACAGGACAATGAGTTATCAGAATGTTTATTTTGCTAGATGGTATACAAGTCAAAGTGTACACTTTAATTATGTGTTAAGTTGATGACAATTCACAGTTTAAATACACAAGTCTATGGGACTATATTTTAAAAAAAAACATTTCTAATGATGTTAGAAAGGAGGTTAAAAGTTAAAGATTTTAATGGGATGCTGGAGCTTTATTTTATTTTATTTTATTTATTTTTGTCCCTCAGAGAATTCTAACAGCATTGTTGTTGAGAACATGATAAATATGCTAATCTTCTACATGAAAGTTTATCCATCTGGGGTCTGATGGTGCCAGGGGATAATGGGCATAGTCCAGACAGCCCATACGTTGTTTAAAATAACTATGCATGCATGTATTTATGATTTTTTTTATTACAAAGATAATTCTTGTAAAAAAGAATACATTTAAGTATATTCTGGATTATCCATATAAACCCTTTATAAGCAAGTGTAGGATATATTTAAACCTTTATTTTTCATTTGTGTTTCTAGTCACACTAGGAACAAGTAATTACTTAAATGGTTTGTCTTAGATCTGATTTGGGATCCCAGGACTAATGACAGTTGACAGGATTATTCCATTGGCTCCCTATATTTCTCATTGTGGTAAGAACCCTTGGAATGAGATCTATTCTCTTAAT